CCAGGCCTCCTGGCTGAGCCGATCCAACACGACACCCTCAAAACCCTCGGATCTTGAACTCTGGCGGTGAACCGCTGACATCCACCTACCCCCGCAAAAGGAAGATCGGAAACCACCTGCAAAAAAAGGCAAGACGCAAACAGCGGGGGCGACGACTAAAACCAAACCTCATCGCAAGCAAGTACAAATTTCCTGCTGGCCCGTTAAATGATCGAAAACTTCAAAAGCAAGTGAAACGGGCTTGCCACTTTGAACAAAGTTCCACAAAAATATGCAAAGTCCGATGAGAAGCAAACGGGTTGACGACCAACACAGCTGAATCAGCTGCCCAAAGGATTCAGAACTGAAGGACAAGGTCAAACCGATGCGGCAAGCGAGCAATGATATGCAGGACTGTGCCTGTTCCACCTTGGGAAGGAAGCCTTCGCTTGCTTTTCCCTTTTCCAAACAAGGTGGTACGCGCTAGGCGACCCACGCAGATTGAACTTTTGTTTACCTTTCGGACCATTCTAAAACCAAGGGGGGATTGCAACCAAACCAAGTTAAAACAGAGGCGCATCTTGTCGTGTTGTTCAGTTTCTGCGGGTGGCATACCTCCAATATCCATCTGAATCCGTGCGGAACACGCCTGGGCGAGCTGCAGAAGTTCACGGCTTGCCAGGCAGGCCTGGAGTCACCGGAAGTCTTTTCACCGGTGGGGTGGGTTAAAAACGGCTAGGAGTCAAAACAAAACCACCAGAAAACCGCACAAAAAAGGACACCCGCTTTCAAGGGCATACTGCGCAATCTGCGGAAAACCAGTGGAACCAGGTGCCTAAACAAGTTTTGCCCAAGCCTGTCCAACAGCCCAAAGGGAATGTCACGGCTTTGCACGAACCCGCCCATCTCTGAACACCTTAAGTGGCCAGGTCCCACCAGTGGACTATGTGGGGCTGAGCTTCTCACGTTTGCTGTTTGTGTCTTTTTTGTTGGGGGAGCTTCATCTTTTATGGCTTGAAAGGATCCAAAAGAAGCCAACTCTTTTGAGAAATAGGAACTCAAGATTACCAAGCCTCTGGTTGATGCAACGTGGCAAACACATTCCAAACCTGAGGGCGGGCAGTGCAACGAACCCAGTCAAAGGCAGGGTCAGTTTTCCTGCCGGCCCCCAGAAGAATAGGGGTATTCACATATACCAGGTAAGCCAACACGGATCTAGGCCCGTCCAAGCCATGCCGCCGAACCCTTGCCAGCCACCAAACGTGGATGATGTCTCATCTCAGCCTCCCTTGTGAAAGACGCGGCCTTCGAAGATGAAAAGAGGGAGCTCATGCACGTGACCCAGGCTGGACTCGCAGGAGTCCCAAAACACTAGCTGCAGTGACCACTCAAGGCACTCACCTTCAACTCCAAGGAGAAGGAATTTACCGCCATTTAAGTACAGCTGGTGCCCCCCAATAGAGTCTCATTTAAGGCCCGCGGGTTGCTTGCGGTCCGTCTCAACCTCCATGGCATCCTGAGGGGCAGCTGGTTCAGGTTCCTGAGCTGCCTCTCTAACTGCTTCCATTCTGGTATCCCGTTTGGCATCCAGAGCAGCGTCCATGGCGTAATCCGTCCTGCAAAACAGCAAGCCGAGAACGAGGTGAGTAACCGAGTGTCGAGGTCAACTACTTGAGCCCAAATAGCCCCCCACGAGGAACAAGTTAGTGCGTGCAATGACATGTCAACCGTACTTGGCCCTATGACATCAGAGTCCAACCATGCAAGCATCGCAGACTCAAGAAGAAACACCTACTCCGAAGGGTTTATTAATCCGCTGGCTCGACATCTCTCTTTGTCTGTTGTGGCGCCGTGCCCGCACTGGGCCCTGGACGGAATCCCAGCAGAGTCGGCAGCCTGAGCCGATGGGAAAGCATTGCCTCAAGAAAGTCGGACTCCGCAAGGTCGAAAGTTCTCAAGCTCCAACTTGACCCAGCTGGCAGCAAAGCCTGACGTCAGCCGCCCTTCTAGAAACTGCGACGCGGAAAGCTAGGGATCCCGAGGCAGAAAACGGATCCAACCAATTCTAGGAAAAAGTCAGGTGAGGCGAGCATTGGATACCAAACCATACCAACCCGGTGATGCCACGCAAAGGCTAGGCTCGAGGCAAAGACGTAGGAAGTCGTGATGAACCGGCCTGCCGGTCACCCAGTCATACCCGTGTGGCAACCCTCTGCAAATAGAAGCGCCGTTTGGTACTTGTGTGTTCCTCAAAGGACCTCCCCTCGGAGGGAACCCAAATGTGGTTTTGTATCCAAACAACATGGAAGAACCCAACATGGGTGGTGTTCAGTTGATTTCCCTCTTGAAGGAATCCAAAGAACAGCTCGCTCAAACCCCATCTACCCCATGCGCTTGCCAGATGTTCCCTTTGCGAAACTGTGCCAGCTTTGTGAAAGTGACACTCGCAAAAAAACTGTTTTGTGGAACCCAAACAATCCCAAACAGGGTTTGGAGAACCCGCCCACATGTGGCATAGCTT